ATTAACAGGCCAGAGAGAAACACCGATCAATACTGCAGCAGGATAATTAACCCCTTGTGTTCTCAATCGTCACTACAAAGGTGAAATTGAAATTGATTGAGATTAACTTTGGTTGGTTAATTGCGGCCTTGCAGTCGTGTGAAGCAGGGTCGACTTATGGCATGCGCAGGGTTATCAGGAATCTCTGGGATTGATGGTAGATGGGATTGAAACAACGGCTGTAGTCACACAAGAACAGAGAAAAAGAATAATTTCAAACACTTGAAGGACTGTCTCTTCATTTAATGGAAACAGCACAACCACACTTGAAGAACGACTCGCTTGTATCAGCTATCTCACAGGACCAGCACAGGGTTCGAGGTGCTGAATTCAGGGGTCTGAGGATGTAATCGGCCAACAGTGAAAGACAAAACAGTGTGCAGCTTCAACACTGAGGGGCCTGTGATAACCCTTTTTACTATGCATCCCAGTGCAGACCTGAGCATTCACAACAATAAGCCTACTTCATCAGCCACAATGTGCAGGAAACCACTAAGTTTATAACTGATGTAATTTTACTAACGTGACATAGATTATGTGTTCATCCAATCTGAATTCAAATCTGTAAGTATTAGAAGATTTGGAGCTATATCCTTTATCAAGAAAGGCCAAAAATATATTTAATTAGGTGTAAAAGATCTAAAAATAAGGTTTTTAATTAAGGTTTTGACATGAAAGACCTAATAATAATTATGTGTACCACTTCAATCTTAAGAAAAGTATCCTATTGTTTTACTGCTTATTACATTTAATATATTTGGCAGGTTGAATATCATCCGTGTTTCAGTCTTAATAGCTTTGTACTGTGTTAACAAAATTATTTATTTTTTTAGTGTTTTTAGGCTATTTTAAAAGTTTAAACTGAAATCACACACAGCCCCTGATGGACATTAGACACAAGTAAATGTTGATACCTTGATTAGACTGTAAAGGTATCAGCAGGACATGATAAGCTCTGCTTCTGCATGACTATTGTTGTTTTGTTTGTACACTCTGTCCATCGCGATTGTCGGTGCTTCTAATATTTGGCATTTGTGTTTTTATACACACCAGATAAATGAAGAAAGCAAGAAAGAAAGAAAGGAAAAATGTATTGCAGATACAGACAGACTGTGACCTTCCTATTTTAATAAGCGGTAACACATTCATGTGGAGTCTATTAATTAGTTAAACATTTCCACAGGTGTCTGTAATCCTAATTTACAGTTAATTACATTTAATATACTTGGCAGTTTAATAATCATTGGTGTTTCAGTCTTTATAGCTTTGTATTGTCTTAACAAAATTATTTATATATTTTTTAGGCTATTTTAAAAGTTTTAACTGAAATCATACACAGTCCCTATTGGACATTAGACACATGTAAATGTTGATACTTTGATCAGACTGTAATAGGGTAGGGACAGAACATGATAAGCTCTGCTTCAGCTGGATTGTTGTTATTTTATGAAGGTTTGTTTGTACACTCTGTCCATTGCGATTGTCAATGCTTCTAATATTTGGCATTTGTGTTATTATGCACAAGGGGAAAATAAAGAAAGAAAGACATGATGTGATGGCGATACAGACAGACTCTGACCTTCCTATTTTAATAAGCGGTAATACATTCACCTGGAGTCTATTAATTAGTTAAACACTTCCACAGGTGTCCATAATCTAAATTTAATTACATTAAGATAGATACTAACTGCACACAGTCAGCTCGTGAATTAGTACTTCATTAGTAGCTATCAGAAACAACTCACCTCCTGGATCTCGATGTGTCAGTCAGTCCTTCTGATTCGGAGGAAGATTCTTGCAGTCCACCCAGAAAAGTTAGATCCTCAGAGATGATTAAAATCCTCTTTTTCAGCAGAACTTCAGCTGCTCCGGGACCGACATCCTCCACCTCATGACAGCTAGCCAGAATTCAAGCGCGCCGTTCGGTTATCCACTGCGTCCTCCTTACTCTGTTGTTAATTTTCGCCGCTAATTCAAACTTTCGGCGCACCTGTGAGGTGAGCGGCGGCAGCCATCTTCTTTTTCTTCTTCGTGGTTCACGGCCGGCGGCAGCCATTGGAATAAGCGAGCGTGAAACGGAACGTAAACAATGACTGTGACGTCACCCAATTACAGACGTTCCAGCGCCGCAGCCAATCACAGGCGTCCTCGGGCACGTCGGGCACGTCAACGCTCTCCTTTAACTTCCGCTAAATCTCAATTTTCCCTCCTAAACCCTAAATCCTAAATCCTTAACCTTAAACTCTTCAGGTCATCTGGAAAGGTTTTATTTTCATTGAATTCAGGCCAACAAAAAGGTAAATTGAACACACGTTATTCATGTAGAAAAGACTCTTTTCCTGCTGTGTTGTTCCTGTTTAGTTTCCTTGTTTAATTTCTTCTCCTTTGTACAGTGGCCAAGAACTGCCACTACTGCAAACAAAAAAACAAAAAAAGTTTTTAAAAAAAAAATCACAATGGAAGTTAAAAACACAAAAAAGTGGTGATGAAATAAAAGTAGTTGCTTACTGTGTAAATAAAAGGATGCAAATTTGAAAAAGCCACAACGGAAGTGAGTTGCTGGAGACTAATTTTGATGATGCACCGGTGTTTTACGATCTACTGTTCTACTTACTTCTTTGCTCGTCTTCTCGCCAGCGTCCTCTGTGCCTAGATCGTAAAACAGCAGCAGGCTTCGGTTTCTTTTTTTAATTTGCATCGGTAACTTCCATTGTGACTTCTTTTTTTATTTTTTATTTTTTTTCCATTCTTTTTTATTTGCAGCAGTGGCAGTTCTCAGCCACCGTATTTACTTTTACCAGATCAGATCACAAAACTTCAACACCTGCATCCAATAAACCTGCCATTGTGTTATAATTTTGTTTCAAATGACGAATTTTTATTTTTTGACTAACCTTCTGTTTTACTGTAGTGTTTGCTTTTAATGTATTTTTTGACAGGGTGATGTACTATTTCATTCCCTTAACGGCTGTATGGGAGCTAGTACCTGAGGAAACCCTGCACCAAATCCAAACTTTATAATTCTCAATAAAGATTTCAATATTTCTAAAAGAATGCTCTGTCTCCATCTGAGAGAATTATGTCTGAACCCACCGAGGCTGCACTTCACTCTAAGCGTACTAAAATATGTAGACTTAGTGAATGAAAGTGAAAGAAATAGCAGCCATTTGATCTGAATATGCCAGGGTCTTCTCTTTTTTTATTTTTTGCATTCATACTTTCAGCTCTGGAAGATAAAAAGCATAACTTATTTCATCATCACCAAGGCTTTTGGACCAAATCGATAGTTTTTAATGTAATAAGCCTGTTCGCCTTTTGCACCAAACTGCAGAGTGAGAAAAGCCTTCTTTGAAAAACGTCTGACCTGTCTGTGAGTACAGCTGCATTAAGTCTGAAGTCTTCTTTTCAGCAGGGCCAGATCTGAAACCAATGTAGTTTATTATTTAATTTGACCCGATTTGATCACTTTGGTGGCTTTAATCTGAAATGAATGTACATTTCATGCTATAACAACATGAATTTTGTCTTGGCATGTTGGTCACTTTGCTGGATTTTATTATTATAAAATCATGCTGTACCTTACTAGAGCATTGTGATACCTATGAGGACCAACAACAGGGCATTAGGAGGAGGAGGGACAGGGATAGACACCTGCAAATGCTAACTGCTGTCACTTAATGGTTTGCAGGTCAATCGTGGTCATCCCCCCGATAACACATCATATAGACAGGGTTGTTGCCAGGGTTTGAGCTTAAATTGTGCAATCAGGCCTTGGCATTAAAGGTAGAGTGCAGAACTTTGAGAATATTTAATGCTAAAATTCTTGAATCGAAATGCACTTGCTCATCCCTAAAGATTCTCTTTCACACAATACCCACTGTCATCTCTCTGTAATACATACTTATCTGCTCTGTGCTCCTGTGCCTGGACTAATGGGCGCTCCATCCATTTATCCTCCAAAACTATTGGCTGTACATGTGCATAGAAAACACTTTAGGATTTTGTCTATTAGTTTGATCTTTACAAGTGAAATAGGCCATACAGTTGATGTTTTAGAAGCATTATTTCCTCTGATCTGGTAACCCCACACATGATCCACCAGTACAGGTCTGACTTTAGTTCCTCGGAGCCAGATCCCAGAGTGAAACCAAGCAAGACAGCTCTGAGTCTTTGTTTTCATCTCTCTTAAAACACAAAAATTTCAAGCCTGTATCCCTTTACAGTGTGCCTTTTTACTGTAATTATGTTCATTTGTTGCTGCATTATTTCTAATCTAATTTAATTATTTATTCCACTTTAATCTGTTTCTTCCTCGTTTTTATGTCTTTTTAAGCACCGGCTTAATACCAGAGGCACTCCAAATATGAGAGAGGTATTTATTCCTTGTTTAATTATATGGGGTTGCATTCAGGACACATGCATGATACTAAATTTCTAATATGGGCAAATACACTCAAAGTGTAATGCATTTCATTATTAGGGGTGAGATTACATTCATCCCTGTCACACAACTCGCTGATTGAGGCTGATTAGACGGGCGACTTTTAGGTGGTTTTACAGGAGAGCGAAATATGTGAATTCCCTGTACAAATCAAGCACCAAAGCCTTTTGCCTTGTTGATGTCCCACACTGCTGATGGATGCTGCTCAGGAACAAATTAAAGCTCGCCAAGCATAAATATGATGTAGCTTGTGACAGAGCCTGGTGCTAACAAACAAAAATATAAAATGCAAACCCATTTCCAAGAAGTTTGGATGCCATATGGATATTAATTTTGACCCTATATTAAATGGAAAGTTGTGCAAAGTCAATACATTAAATGTTGACATCAAACTTTTTTGTTTGTTTAATGGAAAATATTAGTGCATGTTAAATTTAATGCCAGACAGAAGGGACAACAAAACGCTGAAAAGTTGTATGATATTAAAACAACTCACCTGAAAGAATATCACATTGATTTGCTGCAGGTTAGTAGCATAAGCAGGTATAAAAAGAGCATTCCTGAGAGGCAGAGTCTCTCATAATATGTAAAATAGTCTGACATTATGATGTGGTCACAGTCACAGGTCCCTCATGCAGCACCTCATAACAAAAAATGACACGACCCTGTAGTGGAAGTCTCTGCATGGGTTCAGAATCATTGTCAGTGAACACAAACGCAGGTTAAAACTGTGCCATGCAAAGAGAAAACCAATAATTAATACAGTATGATTGAGAAAGGCTGGTGGCTATTCTCGGGCTGAGCCAATTGAAGATGGAAAACTGACAAATCAGCGTGTAACATTCTTCTTTGAAAGCCATAGACGCAGCATCCTGCGCTTCAAAGCAGGATGTACAAAGGCCCATGACGTGGGTAACTTGCAGATCTGCCAGTAGGACCAACTTGTCACCTTTTGACAACTTTCTTTACATTAAAAAATGAAAAATGTCACAACACAGGCCCCCCTATTCAGCCGCTGAAACCCAATATCAGGCAAGAATGGAGCATTTCACTTCCAAAGCTCCAGACACCAGTCTCCTTGGATGTCAGAGTGTTCAGCTCCAACATTTGCTACGTCAACTTTGCATCATTTTCACTTCAAAAAAGGGTTTAACTGATTTGCAAATCTGTTTTAATCAACATTTCACGCAGCGCCACAACATTTTTGAAACTGAAGTTGCACTACTTGTGTCTTAGTCTTTTTGCATCAACTTATCAAACATCAGGATACTGAAATATGATGCTGGCAAAAGTCTGTCAGTAAGCCAGAAAGGATTCAAAGCTGCAAATCAAAAATTCTCAGAGGATTACAAAAACATAGAGAGTCTTTGTTTTCTGAGCAAAAGCTGCATAAAATGAAGTTTTAAAAAATGCATTTGTGAAACTGTGAGGGCTGACTGAAAGCAAATCTGAAGACAAAGCAAAGGTAGGCATGCGAACATTAAAGAGAACTTCAAAAACACAAATTTCCATGTTACTGTCAATAATTGAATTCGGCAAATTCAATCCTTTGTAGCGTTGCTTTTGACTTGAAACAGTGTAAACCGTCAGGAAATCCATTTCTGTGTGGCAGTCCCCCGACTGCTGTTTCTCTTTGAGAGTGAGTCAGCAAACAGGAAGCTCCAGTTTGAAAAGACATCAAACTTGAGGCAGGTGCAGCTTTGAAAGCAGCAATAATGAGCTGGAACAGTTCGAAATCTGTGGACAGAAATGTTTCTCATTAGCACTCAGAGTAAAGAGCAATGAGCTATTAAATATCACTGTCTACATCTGCCAGGAGAAGGTAATTTTAGGGTTGATGAATGCAACCTGCTTTATTACCTGAAATTACAAACACATGCAGATTTGGCATCAGAAGCTGAACAGGGAGGATAGAAAGTTGGGGTTCGTCCTGTAGGGTGTTTGGAGTTCATATCATGATCGACTATCTCATTACTGGGAGAGCTGGGAGTGCTTGGGCAGGGTTAGTGAAAGAGAGTTGAGGCACTTAAATCACAAAATGGAAATAGATACAGAACAATAAAGCCAACTGGGGACAAAAGCAAAGTTGGATGTCATTATTTATCTCCTTTTCTGTCGTTCCCGTCTTGCAAAGCGAGAAAAGGGAAATAGGGGAGATGGAGCGCACTTTCAAAAAGTCCTTTTGGCCTTGCAATGACTTTCCTGTCCTCTTTCTAACACCTCCATGCAGATTTTTCTCTTTGTCTCTCCTCTGACATATATAAAATGGCTGATAAAGGGGAGGCAGAGTGTACAGCCTAATCTTTCAGGGGTGAGCCCCAGCCCAAAAAAACCTTTTTAACCTGGCTTTGCTTTACCTGTCTTTTTAGCATCTATCTACAGCTTTATCTCTCTTTTCTTTTCCTCTTTATCAAATGAGGCATAGGGGAGATAAAGCGTACATTCTTACTCCTAAGAATTGAGCCCCACCTAATGCTCTGCCCTCCCTGTTCTTACCACCACCTCGCTATTCAGTCTTCTCCCTGGTTTTCCTCTGTCTCTTCCCATATGATAACGGGGAGAAGGGGGAGGTACAGCATGCAGCCAAATTGGGGATGGGTTCCAGCCCAAACAAGCATCTTACCTTGGCTCTCTCTCTCTCTAAAATTTTTATAAAGGCCTTTCTCTACCACTTCTTCATCCTCTTTGCATGTTGATACGATAGGCAGCCTGAGCCAGCATGGAGGGGTTGGTTTTGGGTACACTGGCTAGCAGATGAGCCTACCCAAAGTGCTGTTGGACTAACCTGACAAACACAAGTAAAGAGACTGATATGTTGTCTCCCACTGCTTTTAATATATAAGGTTGGACTATGATGGCCACAAGAATTCAAGAGATAGGGAAGGTGGGGACCAAAGCTGCGGAACCTGGAATCAAAAATAAGAAATATAATTAGGCCAAAACTCCAACAACTGGAACCATGCAGGAGTACAGATTTTTTTTTGCTATAAAACTGATGTAAGGAGGGCTCCTGTAATACTTATTAAACGGTCCCCAGAATAAAAGTCAGGGATTTAAGCATGATGAGGATTAAAGTCAAAGAAATGGAATATGAAAGGGTAAAAATATGTTTGGGAGGAAGAGGTGGAACCCCTGAGTCAGATCCAACATGACAGAAGCAGAACCCTGAAAAATCTGATCAAGAGTCAGGAATTAAAAGTCAAGGGAGAGGACAAAGTGAGCATGAAAGTCAGTGAACTTTGCAGGGGAGGATTAAGACCGAGTGCGACCTTTAGAAAGATAATAATTCCTCTGAACAAACAGACCGAAACTTGCTGAAAAGTCAACAAAAACTGGATCCTGAATAAAAGAGTTAGATACAAGCGTGTGCAGGCCCAGAACAAACAGATGGTTCATTTGGATTTATTTAACCAACAACAGTATTTCAGATAAAGTCCAATCAGGCTACAGAACAAACCACAGCACAGGGACGGCCCCAGTTAAAGAATGATTTAAAATGAAAACCATGCAACAGTACTTCTTCTTTCACTCTGTCAACTATGGCAGAGTGGCTCAGTTAAATTTGGTGGTCCTCAGGGAAGCGTTCTTTGGCCTGTTTTATTTTCACTGTACATGTTTCCACTTGGAAAAGTCATCACACATCACCAAATCAACTGTAATTATTAGGCCAATGACCCTCAACAGTATATATCTGTCTCATCACATAACCCAAGTTTTACAGGGATGGAATAGAATAGAACGAATAGTAACAAGTGTCACAAATTTGGGGGGTGCTTTGAGATTCAGTTTTAATTTTAATGCTCATTTTACAAGTTCATAAGTATGTCATTTTATGATCTGAAAAGCATTGCCAATATTGGACCTTTTTTAAATCAGAGATGCTAAAATTTTGATTCACCAGCCAGTCTGTCCTTTTTTCACTAGTCTGCGAAAAATCTCAGATTTAGCAGAGGAAAAAGAAAATTGATCAGATAACTGCCCTTCTTAAAACTCTGCTCTGACTCCTAGATCCTTTTAGAATTTATTTAAAGCTCTTTTATTTGTTAGTTTAAGCTCTTCACAGCCTCGCTCCTTCGTAGATTGCAGTACTTTCCGACCAGATCACTTGAATACTTCCCTTTAATAGTTCCTCATGTGTCCAGAGAGGCTGATTTCTGCTTTGTAAATAAAGAGCCCACCCTGTTGAAGCAGCTACCAAAATGTTGGAAAAAGAAAAGACAAGGACCTTCAAGAAGAGTTCATAACTGGGACCAGGGAGGCAGGACTCTTTCTCCAAATCCCAACACACCCAAACTTACAGAAGGAGGACCTTTGAGGTTTCACCTTTGTTGATAAATCTAAAGTTGTTTTCAGAGCTGGAACAAGCGAGGGTAAAATCTGGCATAGACGTTGAAACATGGAAGCTGTATAAATATGAATCTGTGCAACGATCAGCCAAAGCATACCAGCCGAATTTCCATATGTTCTGCTGGAAATGTGGCCAAAAATCACTCAGTAAAACATGAAGAGATTTGTCTGAGTTTTGGAATAACTCGCTGCACAGATGTATCACATTTGTCGAAGTTTTGCGGTCTCCAGAGATTCCCTCCAGTAGAAATCATGAGCATCATAACTCTTGGATACAGCCCTGCATTTATTCACATTGTTGATTCAGAATAAATTGTATACTGAATCACGGAGGTGTGGAGTCTGGCCAGCTGTAGCCCGCAGTGAAAAAGGCATCAGTCAAATGTGTGATGTGCTCAAATACAGTTTCAGCTATTTTCAAATATATCATAAAGTAATTATCACCACAGAGCTGGAAAAGGGCTGCAACAAAGCCACACGCTCACAAGCAGGTAGTTACTAAGCTGGAATTACTAATAAATACTGTAGTGAGTGTCCTCAAATAACCAGAAGTCACATGCATGACGGATAGAGAATTAAAACAGGTTTAATGTTTGAGACCACGCCGTGCAGGCAGCACATTGCTTTGATAAGAATTCCCATCACACGAAAGCTTGGACAGGAGTCTAATCTCCGTAAATACATGCCGTCGCTGGGTGGCGTAAAACATGACAGCTGTCAGCTAACATATCTGAGGCTCTTACTCTGAAAGGTAATGGCCGGTAAGAGGGAAATATGGAAAGGCTTGCTTCAAGAGACCAAAGTGATGGACCGACACAGGGCGGGGCGGCGATGGTGAGGGCTCCTCCTGAGCGACTGCAGCTTAGTGAGAGATGACATGACGGGAACACAGTGTGCATTCTGCTGAACAACCTCGGTGTCACAAGTGACCCAGTTTCCCCCTTGCTAATTGCAAATCCCTCCTTAAAACTGTATTACTATTCACAAAGGAAAAAATTGGACGTGCAACTACAGTCTGCAGAGGATCAGTGTAGGGGAATTAGTCTCATTGGCAAATGATGAGGCAGGGAGTGTTTATTATTTAGAGCCTCAAAAATACATCTTTACAATGCAGTTCTTCTCCAAACAGGCATCTTTACATTTCTCTGAGTTAGTTCTCAGCTCATTTCTGCTCATTAGCAGCTAAAATTACAAATGATTAGAAACTGTAGACCGACATCAAATTAAAAATGAACACGATCACCTAAAGCTATGATTAGCATTCAACAAACATCTACCTAATACACCCTTTTCATGTAATTACACATGAGGACTGGAGAAGCATAAACCTCTGACTAATGATAATGATAGACAGCAAACAGTTATGTTAAGCAGCTACAAGAATATTAACTAATTTATGTAAGAAACAAAAAGTAAACGTGATAATTATCTCACCTTAATAATACAGTTTTACCCAAAATTGCCTCTGTGCGTGGGTGTAATGTACAGACACCCGATAGCTTATAATAACCTCATCAAAATTAAAAGAAAATACTAAGACACCAGTAACTTTACTATTAACGACACATCTGTAAAAGTAGCTAGCTAGCTTTACAATAGGGTAAGTAGCTAGCTAACTGTAATGCTCTAAGCATCATGTAAAGACACCTAGCTAAATTAAGTGCCGTTACCCTATGGTAAAGGTAGCTAGCTAACTTAAATAAGTTTATCTGAATGTGGTGGTAGCTATTTATCGAATACTCATTAGTTATCTGTGATGGTACTTAGCTAACTGTAATAATGTTATCTCACTTTGGTGGGAGCCAAAAAACTTAAAGTCGCTTGCTTACTGCAATGGTAGCAAGCTAACTATGATGTTGTGAGTTTGTTTTTATGCTAGCTAGCTAACTGTAATAACATTAACTTACCAAATTAATAACTAGATATCTCTGCAAGTTGTTCCTTAACTGTAATCAACCATTTTGTCTTGGCATAATGTAATAAAAGCTAGCTAACACTGATGTTGATAGCTATCTGTAACAGTAGCTAGCTGACAGTTGTAACCTTCGTTTCTGTAGTGGTAGCTAGATAATTTAAAATGTAACTTTACTTTAATCGTCGCTCGTGCAGTATAATTTTATTAGCTATCCATAATGGTGTCTAGCTAATTGTAATGGTTAGCTTTCTGAAGTGCTAGCTGGTTGAGATTTTTTTTTTGTAGGACTGTAGGGGAAGGTCTCTACCTCCTTCGCCTCTGATTAGCTAGAAGTGCTGTGTTCTGATTGGTTATTCCTTATGGCTGTGAAACGTCATTGTCTGTTGGGTAAGGGTTAGGAAATTCAGAAGTACGATAATGTTCTGTAATGTTCTGTTTGATGTACAGAGCCGACAGCCCGCGTTTGGCTTGAGCATGTGATGACGTTTTCAGCTTTTCTAGCCAATCAGAGGCGAAGGAGGCGGGACTTTCCCCTACCATCCTCGAAAAATACGTATCTATCGCTTGCTGGTTAACTTAAAGTTGTTTGCTACCTGCAGTGGTAGCTAGCCAACTGTTATATTAATGGCCTACTGTAATGAAGCCAAGTAACCTCAAGTCATTAGCTTACTATAATGGTAGCCAGCTAAGTATACTGTTGTAAGCTACCTGTAATGGTGTCTTGCTAACAGTAATTATGTTTGCTTACTGTAGTAGTGGTAGTATTGTTATGCTATGTTGTAGTACTGAAGTACGTTATTAACAAATATGTTGTTTTAGCTTAAAAATAAGTTCAATTGTTCACTTTCTAATCCAACAGGAAGTAGAGAAAGGATGTTTATTTAGTTTTCCCTCCATTTTTTTCTGTTAAAGGGTAAATTCAAACATTTTCCAGATTTGTGAAGGATCATAATGTGCAAATAATTTGTGTGAAATAGAACAAGGGTGAAATGAAGTCATGTCTGCCTTTATGTATAAATAATGGGAAAATCATAACACTTTGTCACGCCTGTAAAGTCCGACCACCCTCACTGGAACCATGTGAATAACATTCATGCAGCGCTCCGGCTCGTCTTGTTAACTTCTGTTCTATAAATTCCCTCACATGTTTACTATAAAAGCTGTGACATTTAATCAATAATGCAATGTATTAACTCTTAATGTATACATGCAGTCTCCTCAGCATGATATACTGCCATTAGAAACCCCTCTGGGCTGCAATCAGGAGCAAATACTACACTTTGTGCCAGGATATTCATTATTTACGCAGCGCTGTGGCTTTTTTTATTGCACTTGTTAAGTTGATATATTTACCAATGACGGATCACCACATGCAACTGAACTCCGAGTATGCGGTTCTGTGATATATCTTGAATTTACACAATTGGTTATGATCTGCAGAGTGCTCCATTAAACAGTGGGTTATGGGATGCAGGGGATCATTGACAACACTGAGTGCTGCATATCTCTGATATTAAGTATTTAATGTTGTACTGATATGTGCCCCAAAGAGCTAATCATACAAATATGATGGACACAACAGATGTTAACCCATTGATTGCTGACAGCATATGTAACAGCTGTATTTTTATCTCACGGGATGAAAAAGGCGGATTACGAGACCCTGAATTGGGCTTTTTTCCATGCTGACCTGAAAAGCTACTGTGTTTGGTCACAGAAAAGTTGCTATCATTATGAATAAAAATAATGCATCTAATTTTAAAAAGGCCTCTGGACATCCTGAAAAACGTATGAGCTAATGCTGCATTGTCTCTCTTGGGTCCTCAGCGGAGTCTTTCAACCATTCGCTAAATGGCTGGTGGATAGAAAAACCTCACTTCCTGTTTTTTTCTGTTGGGCCTCACCAACAGCCAAGGGATTCTCTCCAAATGAATAATACATCTTCTCCATTTAATTTGGAAAGCAAGCATAATGAGGCACTTTTGCACAGTATTTCCCCTCTCTGGGCTCTCACGTGCCACGAGCCCTATTTGGTGGAGTTGGAAGCTTTAAATAGACGGTGATACACCGGTGAGAGGGTGAAAGGCTGAAGACACATAACACAAAACATTCATATTCAGAGGAGGTGCAAATGGACTGATTTATTTACACAAATTAACTCAGAGGCTGTGGCCCGGAGATCAGAAAAATGATCTTGTGAATCCTTGAATTTGAGACAACTTAGTACTTGAAATCTTTTGGTGCACAGTCAAAGGGGCTCGAACCTTAAATAAATACTTTTATTTCATTTTTATTTGTTCTAATCACGGTGAGGCGGAAAAGTTTTTAATGAAAAATACTAAACTAATTCTTAGTTTTAATATTTTCCAAGTCTGGAAAGAAGCAAGGAGCAGAAAAACCTTATTTTACGTGCCTCTTACTCCAAACATAACAAATCACATTATTACAGTAATACTTCTGAAAAAACAACAGACAGATTCTTAAATGAAACTTCCACAATGAAGAAAAGATAACTTACAACCTGGTATTTTTACAAAAGCCAATCAGTCTTTTGTTATACTGAAATATTTTCATTCAGCTCTTCAATTCTTCAGCAAAGAGTTTCATAATTCGACTCCAACCACAGAAATACACATAAAGTAGTCTGAGGGCAATGATGCTTAAAATAAATTTCCTTTTGTATTTATCATCTTCTGAACAAAAAACAAACCTGTTCTCCAGATTCAGGTAATAATCTGATTTTTATCGTGAATATAACGGAGTGTACATGAGGCGGAGCAGTCTAATAACACCACTTTTCTCCCTCACTGGGTCATAATTAAAGAAAATAATCATATACCATAAAGTGAATCAAGACAGTCTAGCTGCAGACCTCCACTGAGCGGACCGAAAGTTGTTTGAAGTCTTTCAAAATAAAATAGATATACCAGGAGTATGTTTCTTTTTTTACCTCAAAAGTTGATGTGAAGCCTTTCAAAATAAAGGAGGTACTTTTTTGTGTCGTGTGAATATAATTTTTTTTTCGGGGCTTTGTTTTATCTATATAAGGTAATATGATTTTTGTGAATTCGTGTGTTCAACTAAGACAAAATACAAAACAGGATGACTACTTCAAACAAACTGGAGCGCGTGAGAAAAAACGTCACCTCGTCACCAATGAGTTGTTAGTTTGAGTGACCAGCAGAGGGGGCTGGTCCAAGTCTTGGAGAATTTAAAAGCTAAACTACACATCTGCATATAAACTGCACATTGCTGAACACAATAGAAATCTGCATGTAGAAACACAATTAAACCCTTTAGCTCCCCAAAACAGACACCTTACATTTTGGATTTCACGGTATTTCCTGGTTGTTTTATTGAGATTTTGTCCTGTTTATCATTTTCTCTTACTGTCTCCACACACCAAGCACGAGTAAAATCCTTTGCGCGAATGAACACTATTCCCACTCTATTGAGTCTATTTCTATGATTGCTTTGTCCTTTTTAAACTCTGAGAAGGCCTGTTATATTATTTAATTGTCTGAAGTAATGAATTCTTTAATTGTTCTTGCATAAAAATCCTAATATCATGACTTTTATAATATCTCTGGTGTTACTGAAGGCTTTCACGGATAGCTCAGATGCTTTGCCCCCTTATAAACTCACCTCTCTCCCCATCCTTACACGGTTTTAAACGATGCAAAGACAAGCAGGGAGGAGGGCGAGGGAGTGTTGGCGTCATAAAGGACTATGACCCATTAAACCTTCCAGGCCTGAGTAAAATACAGTGACACACACTCTCGGAGTAATTTTATCATAAAGGAGTCAGCCATTGTGGGATGTAAATTTATCGAGGAGGTCGTAACGTTTTACAGCTGGTACTCGGTGCTGGATATGATCACATTTGTTCAGAGCTGTAAAGATTATGATCTCTGATGATGTGTTTCACTACAAACAAGCCGTAACCTGCATGGAAATTACCTTGATTACTGTAAGAAAATTGCATTTAATGGCCAATTCTGCGCATCACGGAAGCAGAAGGTTTCCTGCATGGTAAATATACGAGTTTGTTTTGATAATGGGCTCATAGTTACCAAAGGCACAGTGTTAGAGGAGATTTAAAGTATCTGAGTGTCTGTTTTTGATTTGAAAAGTGATTAAAAAATAGTGAGATGAGACTCTATTTGCTTTAAAATCCCCTTTGAGTTTCTATCACAGCGTCAGGAGCATGTGGCCTTTTCCAGTCTAGACTGCTTTATCACTTAGCTTATTTACAGATCAACTAATCAATTGCAGGAAAGAGAGAGAAAAAAAGACCCCCCAAAAAAGCAGAAAATCAGAGAAACGAAAGGGTTTTCATGTCTGACTGCGAAGCTGACAGAGCTGCCTTTTCCTCCAATAATGAGCAACAACAGCAAACCTAGAGAGGAATCCCACCGCACAGGGAGCTTAATTAAGAAATAATTGACTTATATTTCCAAATAATTGAGTTGTTTGAAGAGCTGAGATAGTCTCGCACTGACAAGCTACACCTTTAGACGGCGGGAACCTCATGCAGATTGGCTGAAATGTGAAAAATACATTTTTGCAGGGTTTGAAAAGCATGAAGTAAATGGTTTGAAATTGGAAATCTAACACGATTTGAGATGCTAAGGGAGAACATCTCTCTCTGACACTTGATCGAGTGCAGGGGGAGAGCAGTTCTCTCCGTGTATGTGTGTGTTTGCATGAATGTTTGTGCATTCAGGGTGTCATTTAAAGGAGGAGTTTGGGGGTTATGTGAGGTACGTTTGAAACACATTGAATTATCTCAAATTCACTACTATCAGCGCGGGTCGGCCGAGGTTAAAGCTCAACAACCCACTGAGCATTATTTGGTCTAAAAGAGATGTCTAAATGTAGCATAAACGACTGGTCTAAAATCAGTTTTTAGACGTCTAAATTTAGATCAAGTTTAGACTAAATAAATCTGGGCTATATCTATACTACACTGTATGTTGCTCAATGGCTATCATAATTATTTTGGTTAAGTACTTGGTGATCAGTTATGCAACTCACAGTTGCTTTTTGAGATAAATAGTTATCGAATAATGAGGGTTAATCCGTCTAAAAATATACAGAATCTAAACGGTTGAAATTAGGTCTAAAATAAAATAGAAGTCAAATAGCCGTCTATTGCTCAGTGGGTATGTACAGTTAGGATAAAGTCATCATATTAGTCTGTAGGTCGGTTTTACGGCACCAAAGGCATCTTGGGAAGAAGTCTTACTTAAGAAACTAATTGTTTGTAATTCTCACTTTGTGCATAATTTGCACATTTACGATTTATTTAGAGTTGAAACAAAAGACACCAAACTGCAGCTAAAAGTAAAAATCATGTTGTTTTAATGTCGCTGTTGTCCCCTGTCTCTTTCTCTCACCCTCGTTCTCTTTTCTCTCTCCTTCCTACTTCCTTGTTCTCTTTCTCTCCCCCTTACCTCTCTGTATTTCTCCCCAACCCAGCAGCAAGGTGGCTGTCTAAAATGAGTCTGGTCCTTCCCAAGGTTTCTACCTGTTAAAAGGAAGTTTTTCCTTGCCACTGTCACTCATGAAAGATGAGATGGGCCAAATCCCACCTACAGGTTGGGTCATCAAACAATGAGCGTGGTCTAGACCTGCTGTTTTTCTTTGGAAAGTGTCTTGGGATGACGATTGTTGTGATTTGGGGCTATATGAATAAAATTTAATTGATTGATTGATTGACTAATATGAGTCTGGTCCTTGCCAAGGTTTCTGCCTGTTAAAAGGAAGTTTTTCCTCGCCACTGTCACTCATGTTAGATGAGATGGGTTAAATCTGTCCCATCTTAAGGTTAAGTCTTGGTAATTCATCAAACAATTTGCGTGGTCTAGACCTGCTCTTGTTCTTTGGAAAGCGTCCTGGGATGACGAATGTTGTGAATTGGGGCTTTATAAATAAAATTTAATTGATTGATGATGACTTTCTCCTTAAAGTCTTTTCAGTGTTTTTCTTGTCGATATACACTGAAATATAAAGAAGCTGTCATTAAATTGAAGTTTCTGGTATAATCCGACGCCTCTTTCGACATAATATCATCTTTAATTTACAGATTTTATGCTAAACTGAAGATCCCATCACCGCCTCCTTAAAGCATGACGGCGCCTACACGCTGTACTTCATACATGTTAACTCTCTCCCTCCCTCCCTTGAGTTTTGTTAAGCTACTATCACTGAGCATTTCTCAGGAAACTCCACTTAGCTCCTGTGAGAGGAATATTTTAAACTCTGAGCCTGAACGCATGAAAGGGAATGGAAATGATGCCTTAATGTATACGAATGGGAGCCGTGGCGTTCAGGTATTTCACGCCGCATGCCCTGACAGAGGCTAAAGTGAATAAGTCGTCAACTGGCATTGAAATTCATACTGTATCCCTGGCTGGAGCCGAGCCCATTTTCTCCACTGTGCTCTCGCCATGAGCCTTACAATAGTCAGGGAGACGTCTAATGAGGCAGGAGAAAAAATATTAAGAGGAAAATCCTCAAACTCGGGAGTTGGCATATTCAAAGGGCGCTCTCCAAATTCAGTGAGAAAATCTTTTTGTTGCAGCTCCGGGCTGGTGGGAGGGAGAGAACAAAACCAAAAGAAAAGAAGGAGAAGATTGAGCGTGTGAGTGACTGAGATGGGCTGTGACAATGTCAGCTTTGGTCTGGTCAGCCTGCACTGAAGATGAGAGGATATGAGGAGAGAGGGAGAGGAGGGGAAGGTTGAAGCACATAACAACAGCAGGAGGTGGCTGCATATAGAGGTGGATATTACCAGAGGCCCAAAGATGCAATATTATCATGATACTTATAATGCAACACGGCCTTGTTACCAGCCTATCAGTTTCCTTTGTGACCTATAGCTTCAAATAGAGAAGATTTACATACCTCTGTAGCACCTCTCTGAGGCTTTGTGCTTGAATACATGTGCCACGAGCAGCCTGAATCAGCTCCTCCTCAAAAGTACAAGTGCTCTATAGTGAGAACTGAAAAAAGAAATTACTATTTCAGATGATTTCAGAGCGGTAAAGATGCAAAACAGTCTGTTTGGTTAAGGTTGGGCACCAAAACTGACACCTGAGGAGACCAGCATAAGGAAAGGGAAAAAAAGCCATATATAAAATAATAAATATAATAAAATAAAATAAAAAATATATTTAAAAATAAAAAACAATAATAAAAAATAAAATATATATATAAAAAAATAAAATAATAATAACAAATAAAGAAATTTAAAACTCCAGTTTTAAAGTGAAACGTCCTAAGGTGACAAGATGGTACTGCAGGAGGAACAGATCAGCACCAGGACTCTTCTACTACAGAGCCATGCTTCAGAACGTAGCTTGGAGTTGATTTGCAGACATATGGAAGGTCCTGCATGCCTGTTTATATAGTATCATTCTGCAATGATGGTGCTTTTCCAGATGCAAAGGTTTCCCATGGAATAAGCATTGTCCACGATTTCCAAAAAGAATGTCAAATTTGTGATTCGTCAGATCACATGGCAGTTTTTTCACTCAGCCTCATTCGCAGGAAAGCTTGGCTCGGAAAAGTCACTGATGTTTCTGGTTTCCTTTTTGCACTGTTGCAGGACGCAGTATCCCTGATTTCCAAAAAGAAAGTCAAATTTTGCTTCCTCTGATCACTTTGCTTTAGTCCAACATAAGTAACCTTGGTTCAGAAAAGTCCAGGTTCAGGATGAGACATCCATCATTTACAGTCCAAAAATTCCAACTTCAGCTGCTGCAGACCTGCACACATCTCTTCAATCATGCATTTTTTAGTGAAGTATATCTCCTTACATTTCCACAGCTGTTGGGGATGACTGTAGATTTCATGTTTACATCAAGATCTGTGACCTCTGCAGAACAACCTGCTGTTTACATATTGTTATCTGTGAGACCCCCCTCCTGCCTCCGTGAGTCAGCTGTGAACTGCAGCTCGTGTGCGAACCTGCAGCACAGATTTCTCCTCTGATCCCCTGACTCTGCCTCCTTGTGCATCCTGACCTCAGTGTCCTCACGTGAGACTCCTCCAAGTCTTCATGTGGTTGTTTCCCTCAGTGTTGCACTCACTAAAAACCACTTTGCAAAGTTGGTTAATGGTACAAGATTGTTTTTGCTATGAGAATTTTATGTACTTCAGTTAATGGCCTTCAATTTATTCCCTCTGTAAGTGCTATTGAAGCCCGAGAGTGTTCAGGTTTTCATTTCACCCTCACATTAAAGCAGCTGATTTCACCCACGAGCCTGCGCCTCGCTCTAATCAGGGAGTAATCACCTGCAGTGTTCAGCGTCTGGAAGGAAAAACTTGCAGATTCTTGGGCACTTCAGCAGCACTTAGTTCAGAAACACTTCAAAACATTTAATCCTTTCACTTTGACCCAAGAGGCTCTTTTTTCGAAGTGTAGACGGCGAAATAAGCACGCGATTCAGTTTCTGCAATGTGATTTCTTTGTGCAATTATTCAAGCAACTTTTTCTCATATTCTCTGTCACAGGTCAGGAACAATGAGAGGAGGTCTGAGGGTCCTCTTACATAGAAATGTTGAGCTTTTAACACTTGAGTCTTACATTCTGATGAATATTAATGTGGCATTTAGTTGTGGAAATTTTAAAGACAAACACAAGATTTTTTGTATAATTAATTTAAAAAATAGATGCTACTTTCTGCATCAAGATCAGATTCTGGTATTATTGAATATGTTATTCTAACATGGTTATTTAGACCTTATATGGAAGCTTAACTACTGTCTGATGAGGCTAAATAAGAAAAAAGGCATCTTATCACAGTTCTCTGGGCATCCAGAGGGAACTTTGTAAAAAGCTGAAAGTGCACCAAGTGGCCAATTCTTTCACATTAAACAGGGATCCAGAAGAAAGGGTATTCAGAGGGAACATTTTCAATCCACTAGAGGGTTTTTTTTTAAAGGGAACTGTGTTTTTTTATCCAGAGGAAGGGAATTCAGGGGACACTTTTCAATGTTTCATATGCTGGAAGTCCATAAAAAAACTGAAATTTTTTTTTTTTCCGAAACTGACAGGCTATCCAAAGGGAGGTTTTCAATGTTTCTAATCCTGGAAGGGCATTCAGAGGGCACATTTTTCATATATAATCCATTGGGCAGTCATTTAGGGGTACTTTTTCATTCTATATCCACTGGTAGGGCATCTAAGTGGCACTTGTTTTTTAATCCTGAGGAAGGGAATTCAGGGGATACTATTTAATGTTTCATATGCTGGAAGTGAATCAAGGTGCATCAAACTGCACAGATTTTGTTTTTTCAAATTTACAGGCTATCCAGAGGTAACTTTTTTCAATGTTTTAGATGCCGAAAGGACATCCACAGGGCACATTTGTCATATCCCAACAACTGGAAGGGCATTCAGAGGGCACATCTTTCATATATAAAACACTGAGCAGGCATTAAGGGGGTACTTTTTCATTCTCAATCCACTGGTAGGGCATCCAAAGGGCACTCTGCTTTTTTATCCTAAGGAAGGGAATTCAGGGGACACTTTTCAGGGTTTCATATGCTGGAAGTGAATCAAACAGAACTTTTTTTTTGTTTCTTCAAATTTACAGGATACCTAGAGAGAACTTTTTCAATGTTTTAAACACTGGAAGGACAGCCAGAGGGCACATTTGTTATATTATATCAACTGGAAGGGCATCAAAAGGGCATTTTTACTTTAAATCAGTTTTATTTACCTCATAAGCATCTAAGAGGGCTCTTCTGCAGCATTTTTCAGTCTGCAGATATGTTTTAAATGTTCTCTGAGCTCATTTATTTCATTCTGCTTTTATGATAATTGTTTTTTTAATCCATCTATGGCACAGTCATTGTACATTTGCATTTGCATTGTACATTCACAGTATTGTAAATATGCAGTATAGCTTGACTTGAAATGAATATGCACTCATGTTTATGTGTACACTATAATGAGACATGATTTTTTGCTGCTGATGCTGCCTAACGAACCAGGCTCCACTTCTGAGTGTGCATCACAGTCATCGGGGATAAAAGCAGAACATACACAAACACATATAGAAAATCTGCAGCAGGATCTGTCATTCTGATCTCCACTTGACATCGACTCATGCATTTTATCAAGCAGCTGTGTGCAGGCAAAGATCAGCTTCCTCTGCCTGAGCATCACTAATTACTGGTAATTAAAAGCCAGTTGGACACACACGAAAACAATCTTCTCAACGCTGTGTTTGATGTCTACCAGCTCGTTTTAAATTGTTTCAAAGCAGCAGCAGAAGCAGCAGCAGAATCCCTGATTGTATTTTCTGGTGGGTTTCTGTTCTTGTGTCACTTATCTGTCTTTTGTTATCAGCTCCAGAGGCTGCAGATCTCAGCATGTCTGACTACACACTGCCCTCTAGTGGAGACCTCTGAAAGCCTGACACTGCAAGCTGTAGTGAAGTTTAATACAGTGAGTTTAATGGAGCGGAGTGACTGGATGTGCTGAGCAAAAGGGAGGCTATTCTACCAAAGTAAAAGTCTTGTTTTAGGATCGTAACAAACAACTTCCTCCCTCAGAGTTCATGAGTTCTCAACATGCTCGTTCAAACTATCCTGACTTTGTAAAGGTGGTGGGTCTGCTCAAAGAGCTCATTTCAGCCGATCAGAAATTCAAAGATCCCCTCCAGACATGTAGTAAGAAAAATAAAAAAAAATCTCCAGCTCTGAATAACAAATGCTGTCAGGTCTGGGTTGAGTTTAATTACAGTGAGTGAGCCGATCAATGCGAAAACAGTCTTTTCATTTCTAACTCTGCACAGAGAAGCTCAAACATCCTGCTGAAAACATTTCATTATGTGGAGCAGAGAAACGTGTAGGGCTGTAAAAAAAGCTTCAGCGCTGACTGTCAGAATAATAAACAACAAGAACATGAGTGATTAAAGCGATGAGGACGATAATTATACATGAAAGATGCTGAGAAAGCTGACCCTAAAAAATGACATGTCTACAAAATAAGGGGGTAGTTTTCAGCTCTGCTCTGTCCCTCAGTGTCTTTGCTGCAGCTGCTCTCCCTGCTTTGGCTTTTTACGTATGCACATGAAACAGAGAGGTGGTGAGCTCGTAGAATAGAGACATAACAGATACAACTATTAAAGGGATATTATAACACCGAGTTAGACACTCACCCGAGAGATGAGTGTTGCCGACCGCTTGCTTCTCTAGTTATACCAACTTTAGTAACGACCATATAAGAGCAATACACAGCGGTCTGAGGAGCCATAAACAAACCTCAACCAAAACGCCACTCTATAGCCACAAATAATGCTCAGAACAGCACCTAACTTCATCAACAGGACATAAAGGGTCCCAGCCATAGTACTAGCCACCAAACATCTTTTTAACTTTGCCTTTAGCAAAGAGACTAAACACAACTTTTACGTCAGAATATCCCTTTAAAGAAAAATGTTTTGTTTTTTTCGTCTGGTTTGTTTTGTTTTGTTATTTTACAAAAATAACCAGATTTATCCTAAATATTACTCTTTAGTCTAAATGCTTAAAAAAATAAAGTCACTCACATTTTTGGGTTTATCTAATGTAAATATTTTAACGTGTTTCAAGGCTCTCTGATGCTTTTATGCTCTGGTCGGTCTACAACAAGGTATTCAAGTAGAAGTGTTTAATTTTCCTGATATTCTGATGATTAATGCCAATATTTTGGTTGTTGCAATAAAATCCATTCTTTTATAGGTAATAGAAAGGCACCTCTGTTTTATGACCATTTAAAACTCCTTACTGTAGCTTTAAGTAAACCATCTACAGTATTTTGTTGCATTTTTTCAGTGTAGATGCCCTATAAGTTTATTTTTTATTGTCTTTTTTTACTGTAACTGTCATATCTGCAAGTATCTCAGTATGATGCATGAATAATTTATGTTTATTACCTGATGTTTGATTCTCTAAAATGTTGTAGTAAAGGAATAAATGTGGCTTTTTTACATTATGTGGGGAATATTAGAAATGCTCCTTTATTTTCTTTTGAGTTAAATAAACTTTAAAGCCAATAAACGTGCAGACAACTTGACATTACATTCAGTGAGTTTTCAACACGTACCTTCAAGAGTATGAGTGCATATCTGTAAAAAGCTACAGGTGGAGGTGGATGATGGAGGTGGAGGTGGAGGTAGGGCAGCAGCTGCAGCGGGGAGGAAAGTGTGCGCTGCGAGCACAGAAGCCTGAAGCGGCTCCTGGGCGGTGATTTATTCATAAGGTTGCTCACTAATGTTTGCAGATATGACCTAAATCACAGGCTGTGGTTCACTTCATCTGAAAGGGGGTTCAGGTCCTCTGCAGGTCAGACCAGCTCCTACAAATCAAACAGGAAAATTCATGGGCTGAGCTTTGTGCGCCTGAATCATGTCATGCTGTCAAAATAGGAAGCCAAATACAAACTGTTGAGATGATTAACTGGAGAATTAAAGCTCCCGTAAGGGATTTTAGTGGGCGATGAAACAGACTGGAATAATACTCAATGCCTCTTTATGACCTATACAAGCAGAACAGACCATTTTCAATAATAATGGCATTTTTATAAGGTAGTTTTAATGCTGGGTGTCAAATTAAGTTGGTTAGCCTTAGCAACTAACAGCCTCTGATGCTAATTTCCACTGCAAGAAATTCACTGCAAGTGATTCGATTAACTGTAAATGACAGAAGGAGGAAATATAGACAAGACTAAGTCAGCATAAAGACAGGAGTTACCACAAAATCCACAGGAGGGCGCTATTTACTCCACTTTCGCAGATGCTGTTCTCAACATCGCCACACACTCTAGGATGGCGCTGTTTTTGGTAATGCAGTTGCCCCATTACATCAGTCTAGCTCACCTGTATGCTTAGCTCTTAGGTGGTTTCTAGGGTGACCATATTCTAGATCCCCAAAAAGAGGATATGACTATGGGGGGCACAGTCACAGTAAATTTTTGAGTTTTTCAGGTTGAGTGTTTTTTACGCGCTTCTTACTCAGTAAGTCCACACGACACAAACTTCCTTCCAAAACCCCAAACATTTTGAGGATTTTATAAACTCCCCCAGACAAGGCCGGACAGCCCCCCCAAAAGAGGACATGTCCGGTTAAAAGAGGACGTATGGTCACCCTTGTGGTATCATTAACTCAAGGTACTTATTTACCTTCAAAGTGGCAGCAGGAAGCAGGAAGACACTGCGGGACAAAATAGCATGCATATAGCATCATGATCAGTGTGAACAGCCTTTAATACTAAAATAAAGTTCCTCACAGTAGCTTTAATATCCCTCTTCATTAAACCGTCACCACACACTCAGCTCGTGCTCATTAAAAAGTTCTTCAAAGTGGAAGGTGAACCCCGAGGAGTCCCTCTCGTTAACCTCTGTTTAGGCGGGATGTCCTTCAAAACTGTCAGATTATCTGTGAAGAGACAGTTCCTAAAATAAAAATCAAACAGCGCTTGACCTTCAAAGAGAAACCCTCAAGATAGAGAGACTGTCTATCAAGATTGAGAGACTAAAAGTAAAAAGTGATGGAGCACTTTTCTTTCTGATTTGTGTCTGTTTGCCGAGTGTGGACTGCAATCTTCCGACTCCATTTGCAAAGTTTGGGTTTTCTATTTCGCAAAGATTGAAGGTTCAAGTTCAAGAAAATGAGACTCCTGCATATTTGTTTATATTTCACCCCATGATACTGCTCTCTTATTTTTTTTTAAAGAACCCTGAACTCAGACAAAGAAAAGTTTTAATACTGAGCAAGATACTAACCTGTGCAGACAGTATTAGTCATCTTTGATGGATGAGGCAATAACTGCTCACTATTGGTGACGAGTTATCTTGTTCATGCGCTATAATTATCTTGTGGAGACATATAACTTATGATAAGGACCCGTTCCCACAAGATAATCACACTTTGGACGTTTGTGATTTTCTGGTTGGGACAAATTAAATTTTATTTCATGGTAGAAGATTATCTGGTACACACAAGATACAAGATAATTATGTTGGCATAAGTGATTATCTTGCAAAATAAACAAACACTTAACATTTTTGATCCTTTTTTAAAGTTTTATTTTTTTTAATCTATCAAAATAATCCAATTTCATCGAAGCTGATAGCTCTTCTCTCTTGAGTGAGTTCAAACGTCGCCCTCTGCTGGCCCCACAGTGGAACTCCTCTGTTACCTGATTCACTCTGTTATTATCCAGCTTCTGCTCAATCTATTATTTCCCTGTGAGACGCACACAACCTCTAAAATCCCCCTCCTTTTCGTTTTATCATTTCTAATGTGATCTCCTCGCCGCCTCAGTTTTAGGAAAACGCGCCGTGTGTCCTTGATTGCTCAAGTTTCAAAGAACGCGCCTTGGGTAATGATGAAAAAAAAAAAAGTGCTTTATTTTTGATGCGGAGAAGAAGAGGAGATCAAAGGAAGGGATGTTGGCATGTAGACAGATCTCCCACTGCCCTCCCCCCTCCTGGTTTTGGGTGCCAGTCCACAAACTGGGTTTAAAAGGCTTTTATGAGGCCGGGAGGAGGAGCAGGACGAGTTTGGATTCACAGGCTTTAGAGATATATTTGTTGTCAGTTTTTTCAGGGTGTTTAATTTGTTTTTGAGTCATCATTCCTAGGTTTCCGTGTTCTACATGCCAGCGTCTCTGCATATCTGTCGTTGTTCCTCGTAATATGTCATGTCACTCCTGCTTTTGTCCACGTTTTTTGACGTTTTTGGTTCATTCTGACATTAAACAGGTTTGACTTTGATCTTTGTTTGCTCCATTTCTGCTGATTGTTCCCATGAGATGATTCATCCTGTGTCCCCACAAAAACCTCAAATCCGGATGTCCTCCTACTCCTCAGAAACGAAAGGGTGCATTACAGGTTACAGAGAGGCACTAAAGCACCTTTGGACTCATTTACACTCCCAGAAATCTCATATAACCCAAAAAACAGGTCAAGTTTGACTCCTCGGGGTCGCACTGTGACATTTCCAGAGCACTGAATCAGATAAATGGCCGTCTCTGATGTTGGCGGGGAGGTTTTTAACCGGCCTCTTCAGCTCTACTCTCTAATCTGCCACATTTCGCTTTCCACTCTTCAATTTGACAAACAGGATTTGAACTGAAGCCTCCCACGCAGTAAACAGTCACGGTGAGCTGCGAGTGGCTGAGGGAGATATTTACCACTCTATGTGTTCACCACCTCGTGCAATCTGAAGCAGGAGCTGCCAGCGGTCCATTCTTCCTCTGCTGCTGAAAAGAATGTCACCAAAGGTAAACAGCAGTGTGTTGGAGAGAGAGTGCTTCACGGAGAGCAGTGATTGAGTGCCAAGTGGTGAGGTGACACAGTACACAGAGCAGGGCAGGTTCACTTGGCCATGTACGCTGCGACTTCTTTCTCCAGACTCTGGGCGAAGCGGTGGTTGAGGAAGAGGAGCTGACCGTGAGGAAGGAGGCGACTTAGCAGAGTGTCCACGCGACTGCTCCTCAGAAGCACCTGAAGAGGGAGAGCTTTTAGTCATGTTTACTATTCAAGTCTGCAGGTCTCCCAGAGTAACCAAGTGATGGAGATAAAAATACAGCAGGGAATACTAGGATCTAAAAATGACTATGTTTCGTGCTGGGAGTAAAACTCTACCTTGATAACAGAGGGCATGTGCCCACTATCAGCCTTTTTTGGTAGGTTGGAAGTGTCCACAAACTCAGTTTCCAGGGCCTGTGTCCATTATCAGAATTTTTTTATGTGTTGGGAGTGTCCACAACTTAAGTTTCAAGGGCCTGTGTCCACTATCAAAGTATTTTAGTGTGTTGGGACTGTCCACAACCTCAGCCTCAAGGGCCTGTGTCCACTTTCAGACTTTTTTGGTGTGTTGAGAGTGTCCACAACCTCATTTTCAAGGGCCCGTGTCCACTACAAGACATTTTTTGTATGTTGGGAGTGTCCGGAACCTCAGTTTCAAGGGCCTGTGTCCACTACTGGACTTTTTTGGTGTGTTAAGAGTGTCCACAACCTCAGTTTCAAGGGCCTGTGTCCACTACGAGCATTGTTTTTTTAAGTTAGGAGTGTCTACAACTGCAATTTCTGAGGGTTTCTTTCCACTGATGTCATTTTTGATTGAAGGAGTGTCTAGAGGGCCTGTGTCCACTACTAACATTTTTATTCAGGAAGTGTCTATGATCACAATTTAAAAGGGCCAGTATCCACTATCGGCCTTTCTTAAGCTGGAATTATCCACAACCTTAAATTCATGGGGCCTGTGCCCACTAGTTTTGATTTTTGTGCTGGGAGTGTCCATGACCTCATTTTCTGAGGGCCTTTGTCCACTTGATTGACACTGGGGGTCATTTTGTTGCACAGAAAAGTGTACAAGCACTTCAAAAACAAGTATGACGTATGCAAATGTTGCATTAATATTACAAAATATGAAAGAAATGAATGCAGAAACCCTGCAGAGCATAATTGAAAGGATTTATGCATATGTAGTTAAAAATGAATAAGGGCATATGCAAATGCATAGTCAATATAGATCATCATATATCTGCATCACCGGTAACAATAAATAACTGACTAAATTACTCATAATTAAATTTTAATAAATGCAGCAGCATGTATGAATCATTAAAAAAATGCTTCTGCATTTATGATTGTTGGGTGACAGCTGCAGAGAAGCACTGTTTCAATAATTTATCCAGCGTTGTTGCGGTTGAGCATTAAGCTATTACTGCGCCACACCTCAGCGGTTTCTTTGGAGGTTTGATCTGATTTCAACCCTAATAAGGCTTTTAAACCCGTGTAGACACTCGGGGAAGAAAGGTTTTACTTGAATACAAAATCATTAAAGCTGCATCAGGCACAGTCTCTGTTTTATCAGGCTTATCCAACAAGTGACACCGCAGCAGAGAAACATGTTCCAGCCCAGCAGATATTCAAACAGGAGCAAAGAGTGAGTTTAATGGAGACGTTTTTCAGCTGCGGATTCGTATACATTTAGTGGGGGTGTGTGGGAATGAGTCTGAAGAGGCTAAAAAGTGTGTGTGTGAGCGTGTGTGTTTGTGTGAATAAAGGGAACTGTCACCCAGTAAAACAGAGTGGTTTGGGTTGGGTGACCCTCAGGAGTCTAAAAATGTTATATACATGTTATAAAACCCCTGCAATCACAAATATGACGTCTGCTCAGGTGTTGGCCCTCACCTCGCTGCCCTGCCCCAGCATGTGCAGGTGCTCCAGGCAGTGTCGGGTCAGGTTCCTCAGGGTCCCCTCGGCCAGCAGCAGGTTCTCGTAGGACTCGCAGACCAGAGTGAAGCCCAGACTCTGGACCCCCAGCCACAGCGCACTCATCTCCTCGTTGAAGGGGTCTCCAGCTCTCAGGCGGACCACGCCGCTGTCGGCTTCCTGCAGGGCCAGAGCCTCTTCGCCGGGGACCGTCTCCACCAGAGGACGACCTGAGGCCTCCCGGGACAGAGAGACAGCGCTGCGGACCTGCCTGAGACATGAAAGAGCAGTTTAAGTCCAAAACTGCTGGTTATAGTTTAATTTTCCATTATATTTGATTATTTTTTGGTTTCCTGAGTAATATGATAATTTATTCTTGAACTTTGGAGCATTTTCATGGACAAAATGTGACATAAAAACAAAGAATTTATCAAATTTATACCTCAAACTACTTAAATCTGAGCAAAATTCGCCTGTTTGTCAGAAAAAGAAATAAAACTCAAATTTATCCCCGTAAATGAAGTTTATTGTCAATAACTGGCTCACCTGGCCACCACAGCCACCTTCTCCTTCTGCAGCAGGCGTCTCTCCTCCGGGTTCAGCCCCCGGTTCTGTTCGGACACGATGCTCTCATCCGGACCGAAAACCCGGGAGTACAGAACCCGGCTTTCCCCGGGACCGAGAGCACTGACCGGGCAGACGGTGTGGATGAGGAAACAGCGAACCATGGTGACATATGTGAGCAAAAAAGACCCAAATGCTCACAATAAGGGGTGAAAACTTCGAACACTGGACAGAAATGTTTGTAGTGGAGACTCACTTCCGCATTGGTCAGGTGACCGCTTTCCGTCAACAGCTGCTATGTCCGATTTCAACCATCAGATGGCGCAAAAGCATTACAATACAATACAAAACCTTCATATTATATTATATTATATTATATTATATTATATTATATTATATTATATTATATTATATTATATTATTATTTTATATTATATTATGTTATAATATTTTATTTTATTTTACTTTATTTTCTAATCTATTCTATTATATTGTATTATATTATACTATTTTATTTTACTTTATATTATATTATGTTATATTATTATATTATATTATATTATTCTATTTTATTTTATTTTACTTTACTTTATTTTCTATTATATTATTTTCTATTATACTATTTTATATTATATTATTATTTGCGCCCTACTTTTATATTAGACTTGAAAAAGTTTAATAAATGAGTCCTTAGTCTTTTCATGAGTCTATGTTTGTTGGTTTTCCACAATGAACAGCCTCAAAAACTACAGTCTTTTACTTACATCCTTAAAATATCATTATTCTTAGTTTAGACAAGTGAGTTTTTTGTGGGATACGGATGTAAAATTGCTTTCAGGGAGCATATGGATCAACTTTGATTGAAATTAACATGATGAGAATGCAAAAAAAATTACCAAAAAATGTCAGTACAGTGACGATTGGGTGAAAACAGGATTGAGAGACAAAAGGAGTCTCTGCAGAGAAGTTTGTTGAGATCAGAGATCAGGATGTCGGGGGTCTCAGCAGACAAACAGAGCAAGCAGCTGTTAATCCAACAGCTGCTGCTGGTCACGCTTCTTTACTCTGAGAGGCCCAGCTCTGTGCTCAGTGTGTGTGTGTGTGTGTGTGTGTGTGTGCATTGAAAGAAGTAATGGAGGGAGAGTAAAGAAAGCATTCACTCCTCTGTCCTGTTAACCTCCTCACCCTCTGCCCTGCACAGACCTGCTGAGACTGGAACAAGACTGGAGAACCACAGGCTGTGATTGTTATGGTGGTTTTATTTCTTTATTTTTTTTCCTTCCTTTTTTTGTCTCCTTGCTCAGCTTGTTTCATTGTGACAGCGGAGAGAGTAGCAACACTACTGTGTAAACTGTGTGAGGTGTGTTTTAGCCATGCTAACTGAGCTGTAAGGCTGGTGTTTTCAGACTAAATATACATTTTAGTTTCAAGTATCTCAGCAGCGTGTACAAAAAAAATTCACTTTCCCCAGCAGGGAAATTCATGGTAAAAGTTGGCCTTACTTCAGGACTTATTTGCAGGACACAAATATTTGTTCGCATACTTTCTTACACTATGATGAAAAAAAATGCTGTGAGTTCAGTAAGCAGACTAGTTTGTTTACAACGTCATCGCAGGTATGCGCGCACAGCCAGGGGGCAGAAAGCGGGACATTTCTTATTTGTTTACTAGCGGAGTCAACAGAGAAAGGAGTATACCTAGTATCGTTTGTACACAAGAAACCCGTCTGTAAGTACCAGATAACATGTAAGTACCCTCTGGTTGTTTTTTTAATAAATGAGACGTAAACATAGAGCCACTTGGTTGCTTTTTCGGCATATCAGATGTAAAAATGAACTTTAACATGGACAGGACAACTCATTAAAGATGTAAGGGGCAATGCTATGTCACTGGGGGGCGCCAAAATCAACACAACAGAAAGTCCCTCACTGGAGCTTTAAGTGGAAATCTGTTCTGTAGTCCAGTGGTTCTCAAGTCCAGTCCTCGAGCCCCCCCATCCCGCATGTTTTAGATGTCAAACATACCGTAACACAGAGTTAGACACCCCCTCGAGAGATGAATGTTGCCGACTGTTTGCTTCTCTAGTTATACCAACTTTAGTAACGACCGCAGGATAGCAATACACAGCGGTCTGAGGAGCAATAAACAAACCTCAACCAAAACCTCAACCAGAACAGCACCTAACTTCATCAACTGGACATATAAGGTCCTAGCTACAGCACTAGCCACAAAATATAATCTTAACTTTGCCTGATTTCTTTAGCAAAGAGACTAAACACAACTCACCTACTCTCTTCCAGCAGCCGCTTGTTTGTAGCCAGACCTTGAGCCAGTCCATTACGGACTGCTGCGGGGTGATGCAGCTCAAGGAAGAACATTTATGATAATGTCTTTATCATTTCCTTGAAATAATAATCATCATATTAATTATTTTGCACTGCAGACACGGTCGTTCTTCTGCCTTAGCTTCTTGGTCTGCATTTCCATAAAGAGTCAGACCTTCACTTTTGCCGCCTCTTACTGTAAACCTCTTGTTTACTCTCAGCGGCAGCCTAAACCAACTTCTTAATATTTAATGCTCTGATATAAAACTTCTCATACAACCCTGAGTATAAAGGGGGATAAGCTTTTCACAAACCGTCAAACTATTCTTCTCTGCCAGCCTCGGCTGTTTGGCCTGATGATGTTCGGAGGAGGATTTCTGCTCCGCCCACGCTGTGTGTAATTATTAGCCCAGAGCTCTTCACCAGCAGTACTTCTCAGTAATAAAGAAGTTAATGAGCGGGATCACGGCACGTAATGATTAACCAAAATTAGTGTGAAAAATTCAAAGTGAAAGTTCAGTCAGACTTCACTGGCTGTGAAAGCGCCTCCACACAAGTTGCAATACTTCATTACCAGGAAAAAACAGAAATACTACCGTCGGTTCAAAGGATCAGAGACAGAAATTGGCCTTTTTAATCAAAGCATGTGGATTCAACTTGAGCGCTGCAGCCAGATATCCTGGTTGAAGAGAAACCTGCTCTGAACCCTGTTTACCAAAAATTGTAACCCTACATCTGGGCTTTTGGGGCTTTCTCACATCTTCTGATGCAAAAGCAGGATGTGCGGCGACACCACAAACAAGGTCTGAACAAGTTTCAGTGGTTGTGATCTATGAGTCACTTCTCCCTCTGATGAAACGATCAGCTGAGTAAGAACAACAACAGGATGTTTCGGCCCGTTATACCCGCCAATGACAGCGAGACCTGCAGGTTTGAAATACAGGAAGTTTTTCGAGTTCGCAGACTCAGCAAGGGGGGAAAAAAATAAACACCTCTGCAAAATCAATCTCCAGGAACATCTAAAAAAGGAAGTTCCCAGCCCCGTACTCCGCTGCCACTTTTACCAGGTTGTTACCGCCTTGTTTTACAGGCCGGTTCGTCAGTTTGCCGTCAGTGTCAACAGGTCAGAGCAAACACTGCTTTAAGAGGTGACACCCAGGGGTTGTGGTCTCCTGAGGCACCCCAGGATAGGCATCAAAAGGGCGGGCTGGGGCAAAATGAGAGGTGGTGATAGGAAGGGTGGAGCAGCTTCGGTGCAGCTCTGCAGGAGGTGAGCGGAAAACTGCTGTAGCAAAACAAGTTTAAAGAAATGCGTCTGGGTGTCCTCACGCAGGGAACCTCTGAAGGATTCATCTACGTCTAAAAATACCAAGCTGGTCTTAAAAGACCGCTGCAAGTGTTGCATTATGAACGCCTGGAGAAAAGGTGCGGGGCCCCTTAAACCTCAGCAGCCAAATAACTCGTCTAAATGAGTGAAACAGAGGAGCGGTTTGGCTGATTTTTCACCCTGATTTCCAGAGTTCAGGAGGGATTGAAGGCGTTTTCAGTTGGGGTCAGAGTTACAGCCAACAGACTCTGGTGTCGGCCACAGACAGTTGGCTGTAAATCCGACTGTAGACTTCAGTCCGTGGAATGCAAACAAAGGCTCGCCCTCTTTTTCCCAGACCCACATGGCCTCTGGGAAACTGCCTGATTTCAAACTCTGGTGAGCAGCCAGAGGGGCGGGGCGCACGCTTGTATATCCCCTCTATCAGATGGGTCACGTGTTTACGGCACATGTTGGCTCTGATTTTTTTCCCTCCCGGTGCAGGACTGTTGAACTCCTGTCAGGACGTGTCAGGGGGAAGGGCCGTCTCCACACGGTCGCTCCCTCTGAATGCAGGAATGTGTGTGTGTGTGTGTGTGTGTGAATGCAGGGGCACGTGCTGCAGCAGAGAGGCCACTCCCAAGGTCTGCTAGAGAGGGAGAATTTGAAAAACAGGAACTGCTCTGTGTGTGGAAAAACGTGTGTCCTGCCACTACAGAGACCAAAGACCAAACAAAACCTGCTGATCTTACAGTTCAAGTGAGGAGAGTTTAGTCTGAATTTACTGGATCTTCTTTGAATCAAACTATAGGATCTTCTTTCTAAAAGTGTTGAGCAGCAGCTGCTACCAACAACAGTCAAACTTATTCTGCTAAAGCTAGACCTGATGATCGAATCCTAAACATACTGGATTTTCAGAGCATTTTTGTGGATATGTTAAAAGTTTAAGATAGATTTGTTCTTCCTGCTTTCTCTTTAATAGTTTAAAATAGAGAGTTTTGTCATCTTGCTAGTTTGACCACTGTTATCCATGAAGAAAAATGTGTCTGTTGTTAAAATACTGAGATTTTTTGACTGAAGTAAAGATAAAAATGTGTTTTTATTAGAGGTGTCCCAATACAACTATTTTAACTTTTGATGGGATACAGATATTGTGGCCTTCAGTATCGGCCGATACCGATACTGACCCAAACTTGTGCATGACAAGTTTTGCACTCAGCTGCAACCCGTATTTCGGATTAATACGAAAAATCCTGCCACACGGCCGACATCACTCCTACTTTTTGCTACTTTGTTCGTACCTGATGCTGCATTCGAGTTACCTCGGAAGTCAGATGTCAGAGTTGGAAATGACATCAAACCTGAGTTCCCAGCGTTTCAGTTACCAAGTCATAAAAAAGGAAAATCTGAGGTGGAAACAAGATGGCTACATCTCCGAAAGGGGACGCTAAAATAACTTAAAATAAAATAACTTTCGTAGCTGTAGCCATCTTGTTTCCGCCTCCGATAGAGCTACGAAAGTTATTTAAGCACTTGTTGGTTTAGCTGTTTTAACTTATTTTAGCGTCCCCTTTCGTAGATGTAGTTATCTTGTTTCCACCTCCGATTTTGCTTTTTTCCAATTTGGTAACTGAAACGCTGGGAACTCGGGTGTGACGCCATTTCCTACTCCGACATCTGACTTCGGAGGTAACTCTAACGCAGCAATAGTACACACTGTTGTTGTGATCATGTGGGCTCTGCTAGCTGGAGGTGCTGGAGCGGAGTCTGGAATGGACTACTTGGATTGGCGATTTTAGATGCAGGCCGATATAATCCAATAATAGATTTCTTGCTGATATCAGACTGATATCTGATATCAATATCGTATCGGGATATCCCTATTTTTTATCATCTGCAGGAATCTTCGGCATCTTTTCTCTTTCGTTTGAAGCTTTTTCACACATCCACGTAACAAACCATGAAACAAAAATAAAGATACTGTGCATCAACACGTAAACACACACTGGCTCTTTATTTCAACAGCTCCCCCACGAGCCCAAACCACAATATTAAAAACACCCCAGTCACTGCAAACCGACGTCACTCTGCAGAGGGAAGAGACATTTACCCTCAAAATGAAGGAGTCAAAAGCAAAAACAGAGGAAAGGAATTAAATCCTTAAATCCAAAAATAATTCTCTTCACACTTGCTGACCTGCAGCATCAGGAAAAAAAATCTCACTGCAAAGTTTACAGGTAGCTGGTTTGCTTTGGTATCTTCTGACTCAGAAAAAAAAAACCTACCAAGTACTGCAACCGATCAGAAAGCAACGGAAAAAAAACACATTTATTTTGCGCTTTAAGACTTCCAATCAGCGCCCTGCGACGTCCACAGGGGCGCATTTTGAGGGGGATCATGACAAATTGATGAAAAGACAACTTTTTAAAAATTATTATAAAAGCAGTATCAAAAAAAAGCACCTCACCAATTTAAAGGTTTTTAAATTAAGTGCTTAAATAAGACGGGAAATAAAAAAGCAAATAAAAAAAAGACAAAAGACATGAATCTGGCAGACTTGGCAGTGTGCTTCAGTTTGTATTATTGCGGTGTGGCAGTGATGCGTTCTGAAAACACCATCATAATAAAAAAAAGACGGTAAAAACAGGCAGTAAAAGTCAGAGTGGTTTAAAAACTCGTGTAACGTCAAAAATCTGCTCACTCCACCTCGGCGTCTTCAAGCTTCCATTTCACGGCTTCTCCTCTTTAGAATTTGCATAAATAACGAACTCTGAGACTCTGAGGCTGTAAAATCCCAAAGGTATTCCCTGGCAGGGGAGGGCGAGGAGGAGGAGGAGGAGGTGTGGTGTGTTTAGAGGAGAAGAACGAGGCGCTCACAGCTTCTTCAGTCGGCTGTACATGTCTCTCTTGCTGCGCTCGCCGGCCCAGGTGCGGCTCTTTAGGCGGAACTTCCTCAGGTCCTCCTTGAAGTCCTCGTGGTGCATGGGCCGGTAGGACTGAGGTTCACATTGTGACTGTAGAGAAAAGAGGAGATGAATTCAGAATACAGAAGAGCTGCAAGAGTGAAGTCTGATTCAACGGATTCAACATCAAACCGACCTGGAAATGAGGGAAGAAGTCTTTGTATCCGCCTTTGAGGATGTAGAGCTCGGGGTAGTGGAGTTTGGGATAGTCGTTCATGGCGCGGTCTCGCTCACGGACGAAGCGGCACATCCTGGGGCCGCGCTCCGACGAGAACTCGCAGTGGAAGATGATGACGACGCGTTTGTCCGGGCAGGACGGGATGATGGGCGTTTTGAGGAGGAAGTCCTCCACCTGGTCCTCCTGGTGGAGGTTCAGAGCACCCTGAGGAGACGGAAAAACACCACAACGTCATTTCAAATAAGAAACCGGGTCGGGTCGAGTAGTTTCAGTAGGAAACATTTATATTAAGCGATTCTTACCTTTATGTGTCCTCCTTCGAACTCGTAAGGGTAGCGACAGTCGAGGACGAGGACTCTTTCCACCAGCTGGTTAAACTGACCAGACAGAGCCGCCACCATCTGTGGACCACAAACAAACACTGTTTAATACTCCGATAAGATAAAATAGAAACTTCTGCAAAAATCTCTTAAAAAGTTATTTCCTGCTCGTCACTTCCAGATAAAATTGGGAAAACCCAGCAGCTGTTTTTAGCCTAAACTCATGATAATTCGAAAACTTTAACTACTCACCACGTCTGGGTTGATATACTTGAGGTCTTGATGTTTGCCATCTACTGTCGGTAACACAAACGGCTACAAAAAGACACAGAAAGACGGTTGATTAGATCGTAATTTCACGAACAAAGCAGTGATTGGAGGAGATGTCGGAGTCTTTTTTTTACCTTTGTGAAATCTCCTATTAGCTCACTGGAGCCGTCCTCGCCGTCCAGCAGCTTCTCGATCTCCGTCTGGCAGAAAGACTTGGACCTCTGCAGCACTGAGCTCTGGAGGAAGAAGAAAGAAGGACTTTCAGGACAGCTGAGGGAGGATTCAGTTGTTTGTGATCTGTCAACGATCGGTTTCTTCGTTTTCGTTTGAAAGGTAATCACACGCGCACGCCAAGTTCTAAAACTCTTCTTAAGGAGGTCTCACCGTTCTCGGAGATTCTGGGTTCTGTTCCAGGGTGGTGACCTGCGTCCCTGCGAGGCTGCGCCGTCTCTTTACTCTGATCGGCGTGTTGTCATCTCTCGGGCAGTCTGGACGCTTCGCAGAGGGACGGGAAACAGGGCTAGGGCTGGGCATGGAGGGGGAGCGGAAGAGGTTGCGCGGCCGACAGCGGATCACAGGCTGAAGGGGGGAAAAAATCACGAGACTCTTTACAAACAGTTTTTGAGTTTTATATATATATATATATAATCTTATTTATATAATCTTAAAATTTAAAACATTTCAGCCTCTAAATCTTGACTTACAGATTCCTCTCCTGCGCTGTCAGACACCAGCGGAGCGTGGAGCAAGCTGGCCATCCCCATCGGCATCCCGCAGTCGTTCTGCGAAGACATCGTTCGTCAAATATATGAAGACGGCAGCGCAATACTGGATAAGTTTAATCAGCTTTGACATGATTGGGATAGGGCCTCACCTCCATGTTGTCGTCCAGCACCTCCAGAAAGCCGTCATCATCATCATCGTCGTTCATCGACGACGTGAGTGAGGAGCGGCGCAGGAACATGGGGCTGGAGTCCTCGAGGTCGAGGTGCTGGTTCGGCGGAGGCGAGGAAAACTGAAAACGAAAAGATTCTGCGTGTTAGCGTCCCTTAAAAACCATGTCAGCATTTTGAAGTTTGTATTCTGCGTCCGTTTACACGTACCATGAGGGCGGGCGCTGAGCTGGGGCGGCGGGCAAACGCGTCCTTCGACTGCCCGCCGTTGAAGGAGCGGTTGCGGCAGCGTGAGGGAGGCTTGGTCGGTTTCTTGAATTCAAAACCCTCCTGGAAAAAACACGCAGAGTGAGTCAGCAAAACTTTTATGGAGTCATGAAAACTTTGCTGTGCAGCTGTGTGGAACCAAAGACTAAAAGTGTTTTTTTTAAAGCAAAATGATGCGATGCCTTTGCCATGGCAACCGTTTAGCTACTTCTTTAGGTAAAATGTCTTGTTCGACGCAGAGCTGCTCGACTCACCTCTGGCACGTTCTCTTTGTTTTCACGCTGAGAGCCGGTGAAGGTCGGGATTTGAGCGGGTTGTTGGCCGAATATCCCATAGCGGTGGGAATCTGTTTCCTGTCCTTTCATAGATGGACTGAAGCTCAAGAGCTGAACCTGCCAAAGAGTTAAAAATGGATAAATAAGCGTCTTGTTTTCTCTTTTCACTGAGGGATATTTTTTAACCAGAAATAATAAAACCAGTAAACTAAACATGTGGCTGTTTCTTCTTACCGGTAATGAGTTGATTCTTCGGATTGGCGCCCTCCTACAGTTGAAAGAAGGGAGACAAAGAAGCTGGAATCAATACAAATGAAATGTAGAGATCTATAGCTACAGAGAGAGGGTAATACAGACTCAATAAGGGAGCAGCAATAACAGCCAAACACAGTTTAATGATTTCAGGTTATTGATTCGAGGACTTACTCGTTGAAAACTCTGCTCGACTGTTTAATGGCTCGTTCAAATCTGTAACAGAAAACACGACACACTGTTCAAATTTGGCTGAAATAAGAAGAAGTTTCATTATGAAGCTTGTCTTGTGATCTGTTTCAAATAAAACCCCACTGACAGTCAGAGCAATTTCATTGTGTTCGGTTCAAAAGCGAGTAAATTAATAGCCGAGATTCGATGAAAGCCTCTGGAAAGCCTCCAACGCCGGTCCAAGAGCGCCTTGTGCACATTAAGTACAAAGACAAAGACTCGGCAGCTCTGCAGAGAAAGCGAGAGGAACGGTTGGGCTGGAGGAAGTCGGGTGAATGCACAGAGGCGAGAGGTGGTCAATGCAATGGAGTGATGCCCACCTGTATGCTAAATGAAGTTGAGAGCTCAGTGTGCGGCTCAAGGAGGGGGGGGAGGGCAGGAGAAGGGATGCAGCGATCAGCTAATCTACCATATGCCTGCTGGAGCCAACGCCGCCGACCCCTTTTCTGCGAGAGTCCTTTGTCTGAGGAGGAGAGAGCGTGTCCCACTCAATGTAGACCACTAGGTAGGGGGGGGTCGATTGTCCTCATTTCAATGGCCCTGACGCAGAAAAAACCTCCTGCCCCCTTTTTCCTATTGAAATAACAGAGCATAGGAAGAGTGTGCCAGAACCCAGAGGGGGTGGGCTATCATTAAACCCCAGCGCAGGGCATGTCCTCCCCCAACTGAGGAAACTCCTAGCAACCGAGCAGCTGTAAAGAGGTGAATGAGGTCTGTAGAGGAACTCACACATCAGACAGCGGCAGATGTCTGCAGAAACTCACAGCTGTGAATTAAGAAAAAAGGGCCACCCAAGATTAGCCGGCCGACAAACTGGTTGAGATAACAAAGCGGCCAAACATCCAGGCCTGATAGTCAGTCACTCTGGGCTGGTTCAGGGTCTTTTTTTTACTTCATAACTTAAAGAAAGTTAAGCCATATCATCAAGAGTGGAGCCGTTATCTTAAAGCCAACGGTAGGAGCTATAATCCTTTCTTCAGATGAGATTCTGCTGGCCTCAGCTGAGCCCAAGCGCTGGGTGAGGGAGGAGGTGGTGGTGGTGGGGGTAAGCAGAGGGGGCACCACTCCCGGGCTGATTGATTAGAACAGACATGAGAAAGACAGTCAGACTTACGTGTCCTCCATTTCAACAGCGTCCATGGGGCTGGGGAGATCCATGCCGAGGCCTGAGGGGGGAGAGATAATCGTCACGGATCAATAAAAGTATTAGGTGGTACAGCAGACACTGAACATACCAGAGGATTAGTGCAATAACAGGTGGATTTCTCTCATTCAACCAGAGCTGACTTTGATATTAGATTTTTTTTCTTACCATAGACTGGTCAGTTTGATCAATTGACACTAGGCTGCACCCTGACACCAACTACATTTAAGTCTGAATAACCCTTCAAGACTTATCCCACTATCATGAAACTGTTTTGATTGGAAATACTACGGGTAGGTTTGCGTTACACTTTTTTTCGGGGTTTTATTTTGCATGATTTTTGCACCAATCTTGCAAATTTCTGCACAGTGTTATTTTTATATGCTTTACTTGCAAAAGTTATAGACTTCTATGTTTTATTTTGGAATTACACTAGATAACATTATTCAAAACATATCTAAATGTCTTAAAGACAGTGGGGCTGTTTGAGAGCTTTCTGTGAATCAATTAATCAATCAGCTCAGTCATAGGGTCAATATGAGAGTCTTACCAGCATCAGATGAGACATCAGAAGCAAAGGAGGGAACCTTCTCCAGGGGTGGATGAGTTCTTCTTTTTGGGGTATCACATTGGCTGTTTAGGAGGAGAAATAAACATGAAATCAGGACCCAGATTTTGAAGATGTAACATGTCTGTTGTTTGCATAAATAAAAAAACAAAGTGTGTAAAATATGTTTGTATTAATTAACAAAATATTAACTACAATGTTATTCAATTACCTTCCAAGTCCTACTAAGTTGTCCATGTCCAGAGCCAAATTGGTAACAGGAGACAGCACCGTCGCGGGTCCAGGGGAGAAAAGGTTCTTGCAGTGGCCATTCTTCGCACTCATCCCGGGTAGAGAGAGCGAGGAAAGCCCGGGGATGTTGTCGGGCCTACTTTTCAGACCTGTGTTAACGGGACTGGTGGTACCGAAAAAACTCACCGACTCCATCTCTATCTGTCCGGCTTGACTGAATCCTGCAGACAGTGTTGATTTTGGATGGTAAAAGGTTCAAATTGTGAGTCGGAAAGTGGAATCTAAAGAAGATGGTCCAGACTCGAAGCTAACCCGGAAGCTAACAAGTAGCCAGCAAGCGACAATTTAAGGACACATTTCCAAGTGTACGATCCTGAAACGCCAGCCCTGAGTGGTTCAGTGGATCCGTGTGGAGTCAAAGCTCGATTTTGTCTTGTTTTAATGGCTAAAGCAGCATAGTTGAGTTTCTTTAGAAGAGCCGCAGCTCCGCAGACTCCTCCTCTGACAGCCCCGGGTTTCTGAGACAAGAACACTGGAGCTGCACGTATTTATGTTCAAAATAGACGCTTCGGAGCGGCAATCTCTGAGCCAATCAGCGCTGCTGTTACATCCAGACAGCCAATCAGAGAGCGTTACGAGTCTCCGTTGTTGTCCTTTCTCCGGATGGGGATGAAGAAGGAGGATATGACACAATCCTTTAAAAAGTTCATCTTTCTCCTCATACATCCTTTGTCCCCACACTCTTAAATGTGGACTCCATTTTATGAAAATAGATGCTCCAAACTGCAGTATTTTTTTATTTTTAAAGTAGTTTATTAAAGTGTATTTTTAAGGCTATTGTTTTAGCAAATGTCCACATTAATGTTGACAGGGGATTTTAAAAAGTGTGAGGAGAAGAGAAAATGGCTACTTTGAAATGAAGAAAGATAGGGAATAATTGCATAAATTTGTTTGGAAATTTGATAAGTAGGCTTAAAAAAGTATAACAATATGCTTTCTTTTGTGCATGTACACATGATAGATAGATAGATAGATAGATAGATAGATAGATAGATAGATAGATAGATAGATAGATAGATAGATAGATAGATAGATAGATATGATGTGCTGTGAGTTGCACTAGGATAGGATATAATCAAATGAATTAGGCTGGAATATGTAAGGAGACAATATGATATGACATTATATGAAATATGATATGATACGATGTGGTACCAGACTATACATAACTAAAATATATTAAACTAGTATGATACCGTAGAGGTAGGATATAACACGATACGATACGATACATAGGTTTGAATACGATATGTTACATACATTTCACTATGATACAATATGTTACAAACGATGCAATACGACACGACAAGATACGATCGTTTGGGTTATGATACGATATGTTTTGATACTATGTGATACATATGTTTCTATAGAATATGATACATTATGTTACAATATAAACTAACACGACACAATACAACTCAGTATGATGCTTTAAGTCACGATACAATACGATATGTGATACATGCATTTCAATACATTACTATATATATTTACGATATGATACAGTGGATAGATAGATAGATAGATAGATAGATAGATAGATAGATAGATAGATAGATAGATAGATAGATAGATAGATAGATAGATAGATAGATAGATAGATAGTTCATACATCTACCACTGAGATGACTGATTGCCTGATTGAACATGCCTAAATGTTTAATTTATGTTTTTCATGACATATAAAAGCAAAAGAGACCATTAGCAATAACATTGATGATTCTTATACTGTAATTTTAGATGTTTGAAATCTGTGTAAAGATGGTAAGTGTCCGCCAGGCAGCGAGGGCTCCCTGTTTTTACAGTTTCCACATGAAATATTTGCAGTAAATGAATAAAATATTCATCTTTCCACAGGTTTTTTCTCAGGACTCCGTTTTAAAATTGAAAGTTACTCTGCAAACAGGGATCAAACTTCGCTGACTCATGAAAACTGACTTCCCTGTGACTAGTTTAACCAGCCCGCTGAAGCAGTCTAACTGACAAAACCAGACATTTGCAGGGAGTAGAAACACAACAGTCTTTTGCCTTTAGGGCCACGTGAGGTTAATGTTTATTTATGTGCAGCTTCTCCATGTGTTCCTGTTTGATCCTTTTTTTAAATTCCTCCAAATCAGGTGCATGTTTCTCAGGCACAGTCTACCTTATTTACAATGGTTAACATGCATTTATTTGCAAACCAAAGTCTGATGTCTTATCAGTAAGGCAGCACCCATTTCACATCAACAGTCCCTCAGCATTCCAACAAGAAGCTCTTTCAGTATCATTTTTAGCAAACCTGGATTCGTCAACACGGGGGTGTACCGACCTTTGGCTTGTTCACTGGAACGGTCTTTGTTCAGGTAAAGTATCTGTTTGATTGGCATCAGGAATGTAAATGGAGTTTAATGAACTTCCCTGCGGAGCCACAAGTGCAGGGCTTTGACTCCAGGCTCCCCACCCCACATCTCTAAAGAAGAGACAAAAGGTAGGGACAGAGACGGTGACTCACCTTGAATAAAACACCCAAACCCTCCTGACACCTTCTGTTCCCACCAAACACACAGTGAATCCAACAGCTGACAGATTTCCTCTTAGCACGTACTCGCACATGAAAAGGTGGTGAAATTCTCAAATGTTTGCATCACAAACCTGTGAATTCTTTCACATCATACAAATCAAAGAGCAACATAATTCCCTCATATTTCCTCTCAGGTTCTTCCCACGTAGCATCCATTTTTGATTGTGTGTCTTTGGATTTGCTTCTATTTTTGTGCTTTATACTCTGAGGTTGACCATCTCATCAGTAATGCAACATGGTGTGGGACAAATGGACACGATGTGGTACATAACGCTACAGTGTAATAGGATGCTATACAACGCACAACATTGAGATATGATACAGTGAAGTATGAGGATTCTGCAGTATATGAGATCAATATAATGCAGCATGCTAAGGATACAACACCATAAGATATGATGTGCTGTAGTTGCATTAGGATAGGATACGATCAAACGTATTAGGCTGGGATATGTAATGAGACAATATGTTACAATAGGATGAGATATGATATGATATATGATGTATTATATTATATTATACAATATGATATGATATTATATTACATTATATGATATGATGTATGATGTATGATATATGATATGATATATGATATATGATATATGATATATGATATGAAATGATATGGTATGATATGATATATGATGTATTTTATATTATATTATATTATACAATATGATATGATATGATATATGATGTATGATATATGATATGATATTATGTTACATTATATGATGTGATATATGATGTATGATATGATATGATATGATATGGTATGAGATGATATGATGTGATACCAGACTATACAAAACTAGAATATATTAAACTAAAGTATGATACTGTAGGATATGATGCTATATGATATAAAACAATATGATATGATATGATACATAAGTTTTAATATGATATTTTAGATATGTTTAATTACGATACAATAGGTTACATTACGATATGGTATGGCACGACAAGATACAATCCTTTGAGTTATGATACGATATGATTTGACACAATGTGATACATGCGTTTCAATACATTACGATACATTATGTTATGATGTTGATGATGCTTTTAGTCATGATATGATATGATATGATACGATACGATACAATGTGATACAATACATTACATCAGGGTACAAAATGATACTATACAATGTGATACAATACACATTGTTGTCCCCTATGCAACTCAAGTGCTTCATATATTTAACTGCATCCACAATAGTCTCAATAAACAGAACAAATTAATTAACAAAAAAATGAACGATACACCTCATTCAAACAGAAACACACATATCAAATAGAACACAAACAACATAAGGTTGACATGTATTAAACAAGGAAACAGCATATAAAGGGAAAGATCCAAACATCACAACAGTCATGCACAAGGCACACAACCACAGGTAACTTTATTTTAAGTCATATAAACTTTATTGGATTTTCATTAAAAAGGATCCAAAGGTCAATGATGCATTTTATTACCGTAATGCCCAGTCTTATCTCTCCATGAGCAAACATTATCTAGCAGTCTGAGGCAGTTTGTTGCTGTTGATTATTATTGCCTGTAATTTGGTCATTCATGGTTGATTCTAACCAATAGAGGCCCTGCAGTTTTCCCGCCTAAAACCAGTCATTTGCACATGTTTTGAGGGTGTAGCCACAAGGTATGAAGGATTATATACTCAAAGTCCATGAGAGCAGTTTCTAGAATAAGATTACCTACAGAAGACTGGGCCTGAAATAGGACATATTTATCAGGGATTACAAGTAGAAAGCAAGTATGAAAGCTTAGACTCTGGCGGTGTTATTTGTCTGTATTTTATCTACCCTTATTGGTTTGAGAATGAATAGATCCTGCACTTTAGATGAAAATCCTGCAGTAGAGTTTGGTAGCTACTCATACTGTATAAAATACCCAATTATCCCTGAGCATTTCAGTCTGATATTAGTTGAATCTAGCATAGAAATACTAAAGTAGAAGTGCCTTACAGTTGCAGTACTGTATTCCAGTGTGCCCCCCACTCCAGAGTAAAGAAAGGGTCTTTTCACTAACAAAAAACAGCTGTCAGACAAGCTTGAACTCAAATGCAAGGTCCTGACGGCAGAGTGGGCGATAAGTACCTGATGGGATACTTACCTTTGCATTTGCATTTGTCTTACCTGTAAAAGTATTGTAGCAGCAGCGTTAACATTGACACCAGTTCGAGCAGAACACTAAAGCAGACTCAATGGCTGCCAGACTGTCACATGCACAGAGGAGGCACTTCAATCTGAGAACACACAGCGCTGCAGGGTTAATTACTGGATCATCAGAAAGAAAAATGTCTCTGGACTTCATTCCGGCGGGGTGTGTAATGATGTGTTTCCTCAGCGGCCTGATTACAGTGATCTATAACACCGTCTGCTACAAGAAGTGACTCTGACTGTAAGACCGCAGATATCTTTGCCACATCACGACACTGTAAATCTGCATCCGAGAAAGCCGATCACCCTGCACATACAGAGCAGTCATAGATCCACCTCAGACCGGTGTCTTAGCGCCTTCTCTTCCTTATCACAGGGTTTCTGGTTTTCCTTTTTTCAGATAAGAGGATTAATAAGATAAGCAGTGCAAACTGAGCTGAAACAGGCACCGGTATGTTGCCAAAACATTGTGTTTGTGGTGAAGAAGGCAAACAACTGCAAACTGTAGCAGTATAAGCTATCTGCTATGAAAACCTGTCTGATTTGAGTATTTTTGAAAAGATTTGGCAATTCTTTGTTTTTGGCTGATAATATCCTGACATCAATTGTATGAATTAATTAGTCCAGGCAATGAGGCTCATGTTAAAGGTACAGTGTTTGTAAGGGGAATACATACAAAGTCTAGTGGTCTAGATTGTTATGCTCCCTCTGCAAAAGTGCTCTCT